GATTCAGACCGAGAATGGAGGCGATCATTCAAGCAAGCGGGGGATATATTGAGTGAATATATTATTTATGGCCTTACAAACAATGGAGCTAAACAAATTTTGTAAATCTTTTCATTGTAGCAATAAAACATATTTAGAAAAACATATATAATTTGTCCGGATTTTGGCGACGCACCCTGTACGAGATGGATTCCATCAAATCAAGGTTGACAAAGAAAGTACAAAGTATTTCTCTTTCGCGACTCCGGATGGCCAATTTGAATTTAACCGCTTACCTTTTGGATATTGCGAGGCTCCGGCCGAATTCCAGAAGCGGATGGTTAATATTTTTCAACAACTCATTAGAGATGGAAAAATTTTGGTTTATATCGATGACATAATGATCGCTACCGAGTCAGTCGATGAAAATCTAGAAATACTTCGCGAGGTTTTAATCACGCTCAAGAAATACGACTTTGAGCTGAACTACAGTAAATGTAGCTTCCTGAAAAAACAGATTGATTACTTAGGTTACAAAATAACAGAAAATAATATTACATTAAGTCAGCGCCATACCTCTGCAATAGCGAATTTCCCGCAGCCATGTAGTGTCCGACAGGTCCAGCAATTCCTGGGTTTATCCAATTATTTTCGAAAGTTCATCCGTGATTACTCTATGAAAACTAAACCTCTTCGGAATTTACTACGTAAATCTGTAAAATTTAACTTTGACTCAGAGTGAGTTGAATCCTTTGAGAATTTAAAAAAAGAGCTAACGTCACAGCCGATATTGTGCCTATATAACCCTACAGCTGAAACACAGCTTCATACAGACGCGAGCTCGAATGGGCTAGGTGCTATATTACTCCAAAAACAAACATCCGTTAATTTCTCACCTGTGGCTTATTTTAGTCAGCCCACGAACAAAGCTGAGGCACAATATCACAGCTTTGAGCTCGAAATGCTTGCAATTGTTAGAGCTGTTGAGCGTTTTCATATTTATCTTTACGGAATTAACTTTACTATATATACGGATTGCAATGCATTAGTACATGCCGTAAACAAAATAAACCTCAACCCAAGGATTGCACGCTGGACACTGCTGCTGCAAAATTATAAGTTTGAAATTAAACACCGAAAAGGAGAGCAAATGGCGCACGTCGACGCATTAAGTCGACTAGTAGCATATGTAAATACCTTACCTTTAGAGCGCGAGCTAGAAATAAGACAGGCACAAGACAAACAGCTCCTAGAGATGACTAGGAAGCTTGAATTTGGCGACGATGACAAATTCGAGTTGATTAACGGATTAGTCTATCGTAAGCAACCCGATCGTTCTCGATTTGTAGTGCCAGAATCCTTGGTAGCTAGCGTAATCCGTGTATACCATGACGAGATGGCTCACTGCGGAGTAGAAAAAACGATACAAGGAATTCTTACTTCGTATTGGTTTCCTTCTTTAAGGAAGAAAGTACATGACTACGTAAATAATTGTATAGTTTGCCTACTGGCTAATACCTCCTCACATGCACGCGAAGGGGAGATGCAGTTAACGCCTTCTGCGGCAAAACCATTTGATGTACTGCATGTCGATCATTTTGGTCCGTTACAGACCACTAAAGAAGGCTTCCGTTATGTATTTTTAGTCGTAGACTCCTTCTCTCGTTTTACTTGGCTTTTCCCAACGAAATCTACAAATACAAAAGAAGTAATCGCTCATTTAGAAGAAGTGTTTAATGTATTCGGTAATCCAATGGAAATTGTAACTGACCGTGGTACTGCATTTACCTCAGTAGAATTTGAAAACTTTGTATCGTCACACAGGATCAAGCATCGCTTAGTCGCAGTTGCCTCTCCATGGGCTAATGGCGTAGTCGAGCGGGTAAACCAATTCTTGAAATCGTCCCTTAAAAAGATGATTGAAAATGCGTCCGAGTGGAAATTGTACCTCAACAAAGCACAATATGTCATAAATAACACTCACCACACTGCGATCAAAAACTCGCCTGCCAAAATACTGTTAGGTATCGATTGCCGTAGTCACGAGGATAAATCACTGTCCGATCTTGTAAAACAACTGGCACACATCGACACTGATTTAGTCACTGAACGTTCCTCAAATCGCGATATTGCCGCCGAAGCTACCGAAAGGGTACGCACATATAATAAACAGTATTACGATGTAAAACACGCCACGCCGAGCAAGTATCAACCAGGCGAATACGTGATGATAAGAGACACGCAAGCGAAACCCGGGCAAAGCTCAAAATTTAAATCGGCGTATAAAGGACCTTACGTAATCTCGAAGGTCCTGAAAAATAATCGATTCGTTGTCACCGATATTCCGGGATTCAATGTCGCGTCAAAACCGTATAACACTATTGTTTCTCCGGACAAACTAAAACCTTGGATCAAACCACTCGCGTCAACAACAAATAACTGAATTCTCGTAGTAGCTATCTCTGTTGACGTTCGAGGGCGCACGTCATGTCAGGATGGTCGAGCTGTAGGAAATTAATTATAATATTTAATGTAGCAGCGACCTCCTACGACCCTAAGGGCCGACATTGCGACTTTGCGATATAGCGACATCGATAAGTATCGATATCGATTTAAGCGAGAGTCAAGCAGGCGGCGCTGATGCGACCTGCCTGCGAAGCCGAGACTGAGCGAGAGTCAGAAGTGCCGTACCGTTTGTAAAAGTGAGAATGTAAAAACGTTTATCGCGAACGATCCGAATCTATTCGCTGCAGGGGATGAAACGCCCTGAAATCAAAAGTGTTACGGTTGATTGAATAATTTTCGACAAATGGATGTATGTGCGTGTGGAAGTAAACTTAAGATTAATTTTGAATTTACATCTTTATTTGATATGCTCCTTGCATACAACCTCGACGTATTTACATTATGATCCATCCTGGAACGTAACCAATTTTGCCTATCCTGATCAATTAAACTTCTCATCTCTTACATTACTTTGCAACACGTCAATTTAAGGATGCTTTCCAGTTACGTACACAGGTGACACTATGTAACACAGTGTTTATTACTGAGAAAGAACATATCAGTCTCATTTACACAGATTCACAGTCATTCTAGTGAACACAGTATTGCCTGTGTAAATAGTGGAAGGCACATAGTTTTCGGTGCAGCCGCGCCAAGTTTTTTTGTATTAAATATTTTTTATTTTGAAAAAATCTACATGAATTTTCGACTTATCACACAAAGCGAAATCTACATCTATGATTTAACATAATTTAAGATTTTTCACGCAAAGCAAGATCATTTCTTAAAAGAAGGATTTATAGTAAAAAATAATGTTTTGTAGTATATAATTTGTAAACCAGGTTTTATAGAGAAAGAAGTTTTTGTAGTATGTAAAATAACATACAAAAGTTTACTTGGTGCTACTTTTTGATGTCACTTTTTTTGTCAAACTGGTTTTTAGAGAAAGAATGTTTTGTAGTATATAATTTTGTAAAACAGGGGGTTTTAAAGAGAAAGAAAAATACTTTGACTTAAGATTTTTACTTTAAATCAATTTTAATCAATTTTAATAATGTAATTTAAATACAATACGTGTTNTGCGTGTACTTGGCGCCTGTTTTTACCTTTTTTTAATGATATATTACAGGATATCTATATTTCACACATACATTTATATCTTATGATAAATTTATATTTCATATATTATGAACAGAATTTAGTACATTTTTCCATGTAGTACGTATATTAATACATTTTTTCACAAAAAAGTACTTTATTAAACCAATAATATAAGGATTATAAGGATTGTCTAACTCAGTTAATATGTAAAAAAATGCTATGATTTTTCACATAATACAGCAATCCTGCCGTGAAATTTCTTCAGGAGGCAATAAGTTTTCTTCCAAATCATATTGAAAGAGCAAAGTAACAGAGCTAGTTTGTTTAACGAGATCTTCTGGTACGTGACCATAATTTTGTATTTCTGTCATAAGTTGTTTTACATGTTCAAAGCGATATTGTTTTATATCTTCTGTGTCATTTTCTTTTTCTTGTTCTAGTACAGCACACACCTTATGCAAAAAATATGCAAAATATAAATACATATATACTTAAGAAGAAAGTAAAAAGAAAGACTATGCAAAATCAACGTGGTTGTGCAGATAAGTTATTTATTCAAAAATTAATTAAGATACAGACAAGTTGATCCTAGTCTGATATTTGATGCTTTCGCGGTGTGTATTAACATACAAAGATGTTTTTCGGGTTTGGAACTGCGTTAGTGTCATTTTTATATCGACGTTTCGTGAACATTACATTACGGCTCACTTCATCAGGGTTTAAAGAGCAACCTGATACTGAGATGCTCTTGGTCAGATGTCCCGTTTTAGCGCTAGAATAGAGTGGGAATGGTGTAGTAGAGGGGGTGTAATGGTAAGAAGGAAGGAGGAATGTGTTATGACAAGATGGAATGCCATAATGAACTAATCATATGTTTATTGTCTCTATTGAGATTGTTTGGATGTTTGTATATCTCCAGCATATATGTAGTACTTTTATATCGCTAGTCGCGTATCTTCGCAATGAGAGGCACGAGCCCCAAGAAAGAGAGACGCACGAAGTTCAAATATGGGCATAGCGTTGAGCCTCATTTTGCGCAGGCGCGTCTACTAAGCGAGTGCGAGCGAGAGACAAGGTATTGGAAAGTGAAACAGAAAGAACGCGAGAAACCGGACTTCTGACAGACAAATCAAGAGGCACGGTAGTGTCTCGCGCCAAGTTCACGCGCAACGAAGTGGCGCTCGAACTGAGCGAGACGCACCGTACCTCATATACGCGAAAATCATGTATCTGAAAGATATGTAAAAAATAAAAACTTCATATCTCAGTAACGACTGAACCGATTGACTTCTTTTTAGTTTCAATCAATTCGGATTGAAAAAATAAAGAAAAAAGTATTTATGTGTTTTTCTTGTTTGTGACTTCATTTAAAATATTTTTCAAGATAACGTGAAAAATGGAGAAATTTAACGTTCAGAAACGTCATCATCAAGTGTGCAACTTCATCTTTCCGACGCCAGATGGCGGTATGTACACGAACGTTTTGATAAAAGAAAGAAAAGGAAGAGGACATGTGTCAGTTAAGCGAAAGCGAGAGAGACAGAAAGCGCGAGCGATTGAGTGAGTGAATGACAGTGCGAGAGAGACAAAGAGAGAAGGAACAATAAGAAAGATTGCGATCAAAGAGTGATGTACCAGTGAGCAAATCAACACCGAGAACATCAAGGTGGTAGTGTTACGCTCACAATCGAGAACCGCCGTTTGTGTGCGCTCGGATGTTCGTGTCGTGGAAGAATGGAGACACATGTGTTCTGTATCGTTTCTAGGCTAGCTGTCGAGTGTGTCGTTGTGGAAACGCACACGGATAGCGCGTAGCGGTTCTCGTTTGTGTGCGAATCCCTACCACCTCGGTGCTGATCTGCTCGATCTTATATTAAAATAAGACATTAGTTTGACATAATATTGAAAATAATATATTTAGAATATTTTTACGTATATGTATATGTCTTATCTTGCTGTCTACACATAAACAGAACCATTACACAAGGTGTAATTATACAGCATGTAGTACTTTATTACATTCTATAGTTAAGAATGTACCTCTAACAATAACAGGTACTTTATATTAAAAATGTGTTTTAATCACAACAAAAAAAAATATTTTAAGTGAACTAAATAAAGTTTTATATAATATGTTACGGTTACTATAGTAAACGCCAAGTGAACTGGCCTCCGAAGGACACCCGTCCCTCACGCGCTTTCGAGTAGGAGATACTCCCACTACGCCGAGGCAGCGTGTCCGGCAAGGCGCACACAAGCATACGCAAAGATGTGTGAGTGACTGTAGCGCGATCGTCACCAGCCAATCGTCTTCGCTTCTTCTATCTCTGTTTTTCCAATGTTCTTGTCGATGCTATTCGTATCAAGCGCGTTAGCGACGTGTNTTTCTCTTCCCTTGCGCGCTTTCTTTTTTCTCTCTTTTCTTCTCNCGTACTCTGTAACATTTAAAGATCCATCATACACGTGCATCATACAGTAACAATATAATATAATCTTTAATAGAAATTTAAAAAATGAAAAATAAAAATGTAACATCACAAGTGTAATTTTGCACACACGTTATAAAATATAATATAAAAAACGTACTTTAATTTAAATTAAATTTCTTTTAAAAACAATTTATATTTCGTTTTTTATATACTTTGACATACATATCTTTTTATTTTAATATATTTTTGAATGTTTTAAGCAATTTGATCAAAATGTTTTTTCTTTCATTATTATATAATGTGTTTACTTACATAAATTGATACGTCAATGGGCTAATTGTTGTGGGCTCATGTAGAAGATTATTCAAAAATTATTTAATCATCCTGGATTATTGTCCTAGCAGCCTGCNCTTTTGAATAAATATAAATTATTATTAAAATTAAAATTAAAGAAATAAAAATTATTATCAACATTAAGAATGTTATAATATATATACTTACATATCATATGTAAACTGAAATGTCCATCGATTGCTATCTATATAATTCTTTCTTATGGGCTTTCTTATGGACTCATTCCGAAATTGTTATAAATATTTTGCTCCACCTCGTCGAAGGTCCTCATGACCGGCCCTTTGCCCTTCCTCTTGACTCTTGAGCCTTGCGCGCTTCTTTCTTGATGTCTTCTCGGGTATCTCACTCTCGTCTTCTGCGATAAAACGTCCTCTTCTCGGGCAAAGGTGATCACTCAGATTCTTCAAATTTCGGTGGTCCTTGCAAATATAATTTAAACATCTTCATTACTGGAAGAGTCCGAAGTGCTAGAACTGTCTTCGGCAAATTCTAGTAATTCGTTGATTTCTTCGTCTTTTCTCATTTCTTTTTTAAAATCCTCTTCTTGTATACGATCGGTTTTTTCTGCACATTTTTTCCAATCGTCCACAGTGACTCTGCTGATTCCCTCTTCGAGTAATCTCCTTACTTCCGTCATTGTAAATGTTGTATTATGCTCAGCTACATACCCTTTCACTTGAGCCCAAATTAATTCAATGGGGTTGTACTGGCAATGATAAGGCGGAAGCCTGATTACTTCGTGGTCCATTTGCAAAGCAAGTTCATCGAGCACATATNCTTTATGCGCTGACTTATGCTGTCTTACAATATTTAATAATTCGGATTTTGTCCAGCTTTCTTCAAACGAGATATTTTTGTTCCGTAACCAGGTTATTATTTCTGCTTTTCTGCTGGCCGTTGTTGGTGCTCTTTCCTTGAGTGTTGAATGATATACAGCATTATCCATAACAATAATACNACCTTCTTCTAGGCCTTGTAAAAGATTTATAAACCAATCGTGGAACACTTCTGCATTCATTTCCTGGTGATAATCTTCTGTTGATTTTGATTGAAACACCAATTTCGCGTGTTGTATAAATTTGTGTTGAGCGGATCCCGCGTGACAAACGATGAGGCGTTCTCCTTTTCCAATAGGCACTTTCATNCCACCAGAATTTTCTGAATCCTGCCATATAAATTGTCTTGTGTGNTTCTTGTTAACCCACGTTTCATCCAGATATATAACAGGACGAGTATCATTCGATGTCCTTAAGTGGTGCATTTTTCGAAGAAACATTGCTCTTGCAGCAGCAACGTCTGTCCTCTCCATTAAAAATTTTCTACCATCATTGGCTTTCTTGTATTTAAAGCCAAGATCTTTAAATATTCTGCGCAATGATGTTATAGAGCCTTCAAATTCATCAATTTCTCTTAAAGTTTCACGTACTTTTTTTGTAGTTGGATATTCTTTTCTATCATAAAAATCCAAAATGGTTCGTCGAATGACATCTTTTTGTCTGTCATCTATATTTGTTACTGGACGCCGGGCATTCTTTTTGGGTGACGAGAAAGACGTTGACGGACTATCTTCTTCAAAGTTTTCATATATCAGAGTTTTTTTTACATTATATCCTTCGGCACAAATTCGTCGAATAGTCCTTTCTGATAAGCCGGAAGCTTCTGCGGTAGCCTTTTGTGGAGCACGTACACAGTTTGTCCGGAAAGTTCCCGGACTACGTGAATTAAAAATCGAAAATGNAAGATATGGTTTATTAAACAAGTTTACACTTCAAGGTAGTCTCCATTTAAAGCTATGCACGTTTGAGATCGTTCATACAACCGCTGGAACGCTCT